CCAGAAGGTCAGTTGCATAATTTAATCATTCACAGTCAGTGCACACTTTTTCGAATCATGTGTGAAGGATTTCTTAGAAAAGCTGGGCCAGCAAAATGGTCAACTCGAGTGCCTGCAGCACGAGATTTTCGCGAATGCCGAATTGAACGAAGCGTGGAAACGAGAAAGAAAATAGGAAGGCAGGCTAGAAAAAGCAATGATCTGCCATATGTGGCGGTGCTATACTACTTGGCTGCGTAACACGCAGAGAGAGAGAGAGAGAGATCACGACGTTTGACTTACAACTGGAGCAAATATATTACATCGCGTGGATCAGAAGCATGCATCAGTAGCCTCTGGTACGGTAAACGAAATACACGTGCGGCGATTTATACTGGAGGGTGTAACCTAATTTTCGTTTCGACAGAGGAAACAAAAGAAGAAAAGGGAAGAAGATCCTTCTGCGTTGTGATGACGAGAAAGTGCCATTATTTATTTCACACTTACTCTTTTTAATTCGCGGCTCTGCTAATTCGAAATAATTGAATTACACAAATAAATCCAATCCTACGAGTAATACCGAATATACGAGATCACTCTAAACGTGATCCAACAGATCTGTCATCATTTCGAAAACACGCTCTAACAATTCCAAATAAACTGTGATCGCGATAAATTAATCCAGCTTCGATCGATTAATTCGGTGAACGACTTGCCTGGTCGAAAGGGATGGAAAAATTTCGTTTATATTTCATAAATATGGCGTTAAGAAGTTAATGAGATCGAGAATGTATTGGAAGATTTTGGTGGTTGGCTGCCTGATGACGTTGACGTTGATAGACGTCTGTGCAGCGAGTAACAGTACCTGGAACAAAGTTCGCGAGAAGAAGGCGCGGATAGTGAAGAAACTGAAGACGGACTTCCGGAAGTTGAAGAAGCAAGAGGGTGCTGTTAAATTGGTGGGCGGGGAGAACGGCCGACACGAAGGTAACAACAAGTGTTTCGAATTCGAAACTTTTGTCTGGCGTTTCCCCCTGTTCGCGAGTAAATTAAAAATAAAGTGGTATCCCTCGAGGGTAATAGAAAACTTTTCAAACTCGAACGCGTCGCTCTCAATTGGGAAAAAAAAAAAGAAACGGAGAATCGAGACTCTCAGGCATCTTAATTTTCAAGCTTTTATAAATGAAGCTTCGATTGACAAATTAGAGATGCGACGATCTTGGCGGCTTTGGAAATTCGCAGTCTGAATTTTGGGAAAAAAAGAGGGGGGGGGGGAGAACTCGAACTCCTGGAAACTTGGAGATTTTCAGATTCTAAAAGTTTCGGTTGAAAAGCCCGAGGATTTACAGGCTCGGGCATTCGAAAGCTTGCTTGAATTCAAAATTGAAAAACTGTTTCTCAAGATTCCGCTAAGTTAAAGATTTCCACGAAGATTCGAAATCGAAAGATTTCACCGATCGTCGATTAAAACAAGAGTGCTCGCTGACGAGCACACGAATCGAGACACGATCGTACTGGAAACCAGTCTTACGTGAAACGAGTCATCGCGGTTTTATCAGTCGCGTTTCTCGCCTAAGTTGTGCAACGCGACGATTAAAAAGGGGTCAACTGGAGGATGATTTATATCAATTATGCATGTGTGTTGTGTGTGAATGTAGTAAACGCAGTCAGAGAACCGCCAGTCGCAACACAGGATAGCTAACCGTCAAATTTGGCAACCATAAAACAGGATAAAAATCCGTCCCAGGCATTCGCGTGACAATTTTTATTACCCTCCATTGGATATTACATTCCAACCTGTACCCGTATTTCCTCCCTGTTTTCGTCGTTCTTTCACCCCCACGTCCCTTCCTTTCCCGTCGAGAAAACGGTTAATCTTTTCGTCGATTTACGATCGCCGTTCTTCGTTGTTAGAATTATATTTTCGTAATCACGTCACGTTCGCTTCTACAATACGTGAAACGACAAATCCAAACGTTTGTCGTGAATTTGTCGAATTGAATTCTCTTTTCGTGTTTTTTTTTTTTTTTTTTTTTTTTTTTTTACGTTTATATACGTAAACACAGAAATATAAATGTATTTTTTTAGTTTCTACGCTTAAGAAAAATATTTCTTCAAACGACAGACATTAGAAATTTATCATGTGTATATTTTTCTATATTATTAACTTAATAATAGTCTCTCCCTTTCGTTCATCTTTCACTATCTTTTTGTTTCGTTCTCGAATTCACACAAACTGCAAACTTTATGAAAAACCGGAAGGATGTAATACAATCGTCAGTATAGCATTTTCAAAGTATACGTAAGTATTTATCCAATATCGTGTAATTTTATATAGAATGAACGACTGGCGATGACACGGTGGTCAATTGTCAATTTTTATCCTCATAGTTAGGATACATTTCAAGTCCTTTCAATTCCAGTCAATCAGCTTAGTTCTCTCTGAGCAAGCCTTATTTTCGTTTCGTCGAAACGAAAATAATCCAAGCTCGAAATCACCGAATTCTCCGAAAACTAATCCGCCATTGAAACTGTCCTCGTGCAAATACAACTATATATTCCACCATATAAAAAGATAAATTTAAGACGAATCTGTTTAATTAATTATTGTAATATATATTAAAAATTAATATTACTCTACTCGAATTGAACACACTGAATCAGATGACTAAGAAGATAAACTTATGACAAATCTGTTTAATTAATTATTATAATATATGATATATAACATATATTAAAAATTAATATTACTCTGATCGAATTGATGACTAAGAAGATAAATTTAAGACGAATCTGTTTAATTAATTACTATAATATAATATATAACATATATTAAAAATTAATATTACTCTGATCGAATTGATGACTAA